GATCCTCTCTCATCATACGATGATCGGAGATCACTGACCGATTCATACAAGGTCGTACGACGCTGTTTAACTTCCTCGTTGAGCCTTGCCGGCTCGGCAAAGTTGACAAAGGATTAACTCGGCCGTGCTAAAACTCATGAAAGTAGACCCTGAAATTGATGATTGGTGATTTGATGAATTGATGATGAGCTTGGCGAGTTGGTGGAACCTGGTTCTCCGGCGAATCATATGGTTCTTAGAACCTACGCTTCTCGTAGTAAGTCTCTAGTATTGAGGTTCCGTAGCCATCTTGGCTCAAGATCTTAGTGTCGTGTTATCGGTCACCGCATGTCGGCGAGGGGTTCCTCAACACCGGCGGAGAGTTATGCGACACCCCTAAACGACCGCAGCCCTGATTCAGGCGGTCTGGAGGGTAGGAAGTTCCCACCTCGAAAAAGAATTCCCGTCGACTGGGCTTGATATTGTCCAACAACTCCACGTAGTTTGCGAATATGCTGTCGAAAAGTAAGGTATGGAAGCATGAAAGGTATGTTGTTGGTCACCAAAAGCTGTCACAGACGACGGCTTGGCTAGCAACTGATAGGAAATCGTCTGCCCAAGCTGCTCGAGCTTTGGCCGCTCGCCCTTGGCATGCCAGATTGACAATGACGTTCGTCAGAACCTGTATCCAGTCTTGGGCTTTTCCAAGATCCGAGGGACAGTAGTTTTCCGAATAGGTCTCCCGACTCAACGCACCTTCTTTGTTCGTATAGTTTTGGGTAGTGGGTAGAAGAGCGCTTCCGGATCACTAAAATTCGGATCTTCAGGTAGGGGAGCGACAACGTCTTCAACACGGAAGATGTCGAACTCTGTGATTGGTTCTAAAAGCAACACACGTCCTGTCGCTGGCAGTTTCTCTCGTCTGTTCTACGGGCCATGCTATTGTCGTTCGTCACCGTTTGGACATCTTCATTACTTGCCGATGGAAGCTGACTTCCAGATCTCCTATCAACACCGATCAAAGAATCAAACTAGTACAAGCAATACGAATGACGCTCACAATGTGGACGATATGTTCACAGCTGTCAGTGACAGCCTGTCACGAAAGTCTCATCGCCGCGGCTTGTCATGTGACCCCCGAATAAATCGATACTACGCAATCTCAAGCTCAATCTCAGTTCTCTGAGGACCTAGCGTACATCTTTAGAGTTTAGAGTCGTGAATCTTTTCCTTATTTTTCTTTTCTTTTTGTCGAAAATTTTCAAGAGGAAAGTTTCCACAATAGCCACATGGGCAAACTCCGAAACCACGCTTCTTGGGGAGCTGGGTCCACAAATGAATCAGGAATTAGCGCATGTTTTCAAATCAGCTACGTAGCGAAACGCCACTCCCACCGTATCATGCGCGCCTCGCCAACTTGAAGGAATAGAGTAAGCGAGGGCCCGACAGGAGGTTTCTGATCCAACAAAACACTGTTTTGTTGAATCAGGTTGATTCGACAGAACAGTGTTTTGTTGAATCAGATTCAACGTGATACTAATTTGCTGAATCAATCAGCACACCGGATCGGTGCTTTGCGCTTCCCACGCAAATGATGGGCTCACGGACTTCCAGAAAGGAGTTTCGGCCTAGATTGCACGATGCCATAAGATGTTCTCATGCATCATCGCAAGCTATAGATTGCAGTGCAAAGAATTCGTGCTCTGATGTGGCGAATCATGATTGGCTCGAGAATTAAGAACATCAATCTGATGTTCTTGACAGCGAAATCAACTTCTCTGATCACGAAATTAAGGGCCTATTCGTAAGAAAATCACTGAATTCGGAATTTCAGAGATCCAATCTCCACTTGGAGCTCGTCGCTGAAGTTTAGCGGCCGAACTTAGTTCCTTGTTTGGAAATATGATGCACTCATGATGAACTCAAGAAGAAGCTCCAGTGTGTAAGATAAGTCCTAATCCGCGGACAGCGGGCTCGTTGGCCGAATAGAAAATCTCTCGATGAAACGAATGATTCGCCGAGTAGCATTCTTCTGAGTATTATATGTAGGACCATGCTACTACAATAGTGAATCCAGGTGAAGGTCTTCTCACGGAGCGATCGTAGGATGACCAACGACAATGAAGGGCATTCTGTGGTAGACCGTGGATTTCGAAGTCCACAAAATAACAGAATTGCTTATGAAGATCGCGGCTTCAATTTGCCGATTCCGACTCGTTTAAGAGTAGGGTGGAACTCGAAATAATTACCAATCAGCATACGATCGGGGAAAGTCCAAACATTCTTTTCCTGTTTTGCGATAATGAGTATACAGATACCATATTGATTCCTGGCATAGTTCGCGTATGTCATCGTGAATGGAGTTATGCCTTTAGGGCCCAAGCCAAACTTCAACAGTGGCAACTCGCCCATGTATTGGCAAGGGAAGTACCATATCTTCTCTATTGAGTCGAACTTGAAGTCGACATGCGTACCCGCAGCCTTATCAGTTTGAGCTCCAATTTCCTTGATGAGACTGTCATAGTATAATGTTGGAACGTATAGATAGTTGGCGCCAGTGTCGAGCTCTAGGTTCATATTGATTCCAAGGGTTATATGTCCATCACCGACTTGTAGCTTGTCAATACGTACCGTGTACTCTTCGTCCGTAGAGAAGCCGACATACTTCAATGCTCCCTCATATAATGCAGGATCGCCTCCACCCAGGAGTAGGCCTCCATCAGCGGATGCCTCCTTGGGATCAGCGGGAGGATACAAGTAGAGAGCAATGATCCCGGTCGTTATAGTTTTTGATGATCTCAACTGCGTCATCAGAGACGGGAAGTTCACGTCACCTGGATCATAGCCAAGACCCATCGAGTTAGTCGGAGGAACTTCACTGATGGGAGGTTTTTGGTCGAATATCAGGCCGAAAGTGAGGATCTGCGACACCTGACCCATGGCTAATTTAGACTTGTGCTGAAAAATGTTCACCGTGTATTTGTCCTCGAAAGTAACAGTTCTCGTCACTTTTCCGACAGAGCAAGGCTCCGAGCAGTCGTAACACCCCATGGAACAAGTACTGCAGGAGTCTCCACTGGCTTTCTCGTACCAATCCTTCCAGATGAAGAAAAATGAACCCGACCCAGTGTCAACGAGGGCATGTAGCTCCTGGCCATTCTCGCCGACCAGAGTATGATACAATCCAAAGTTCTCTTTGGGAATATCTCCGTACTTCACATCGAGCTTGAGAGTTTCTCCTCGGGAGAACTTCAACACGTCAAATACATAAACCAAGGCGAGCAGTCGGACGGGCATAGGAGAACGGATTCCGGTCAATATTTTCGATCTCAACGTAGCCGAGTGGCACGTTTTTGTCTCACGGCTCGGGTGCACGTTCGCCTCGTCTCTCGGACACCCAACTTGGGTGACCCAAGATTATCTTCCTCGAGCCCAAGTTTTCCTTCCCCCAACCCAATTTTTTCCCGCGCCCAAGATCTGTATGGCCATTCCTTCGGGTTTCGGTTTCACATGACTGACGTCTCGAACCTCGATAACAGTTTGGATTTCAGGTTCTCCGTCGGGTTTCGGGTAGGGTTTCGGGTTTCCCTTTCTCCGCTTTCACCTTTAGTTCCTTCTTTTCTCGGGGAACCCGTAGTTTAGATTGCACTTGCATTACAGCCATTACCCGGATAACAAACCCTGACTCCTTGAGTTTCTCGGGAACTGGGGATTTCTTGGGATCCTGAAAGTTTTTCTTGGGCCCGCACAAAAAATTCCGCACAAAACCCAGATTAGTATCGCAGGGCGAGCGAAAAGTGTTGAGCAATAGTTTATAAGACTTGACGCGACACGTTCTGTCAGAATGGTTCTGTACTTGCTAGTACAAAACGCACATAAATGCTCACCATGTGCGATTCTCACAATCTCGCCCCCTTCCTCACGCCACATTGATCGATCACACAAACCAAAATGCAACAGCAGTAAATCTTCCAACTATGTACAAACCGGAGCAAAGCGATGGGCTCGGCTAGTCTGTATTTATTATTGTTGGAATTCAGGGATAATAGTGAAAATTCAGGGCAGGTGGCAAATCTAGAGGACGAACTCTAGCTTACCTCAAGAAGCTAGCTCGGATTTCGAACATGACGTGATGTGCTGACTCGGCACTACCGTAGTGCCACTACCGAACTAGAAATCCATGATGAAAAACGCTGTGTGATGGTCAGTGTATGCGAGGGTAACCATATGTAACACAAAACAAGCGAATTTGCATAAATTTACTCACCAATTACATGCAGTCCGGGATTTCAAGAACCCAGTGGGTTGCTGACTATGATCTGCGTCCAACTTTCGACAGTTCCACAACGGCAATAAAGTTCGTCCTTTCTTGCATTGGTCAATTTCGTTCCAATTTCGACAAGATCTGTGTCGGTATTGGAATCAGCTCTAACCCACTAAGAAAAACAACGCCGTTTTGACGCACATAACAACAACCAATGCGACATGCAAAAGCACCCTCGTCGCTGTATGGTCACCACGCCCTCACTAGAAGTCTCTATATGTACCTACGCGCACTGGACAAGTCTACTGTTCTCCACAGAAGACCTTACTCGGCCCAGGTCGTTGGTCCCTCCCCCTCGTAATGAGCGTAGTCGTCTTGTAAAACTTGGTGCCTACCAAAGCATCCACGTCGTCAGGCAGTCAGCTTCTACTACCCCGTGCTGCCAGATCCTCAGCGAGCTTCTGCTGACATCCCGCACCAAGAGGAAGGGAGAGCTCATTGTCCATCTCGGGAAGGGCTGCTCGTTTGCCTGATGAGATGATCGCGGATCGAGCCCCACTCTAACTCGGACCTCCGAATTCATCAACGAAGGCTAGGCCTGGATCTGGTACCGGCAACCACGTCCCTGATAGGAGCCACCATAGGTCCCCGCCGGGGCTAGAGCGATGGTCTTACTCTGAACCGCTGTAGATAAGCAGGCAGTGCTGACATCCCCATCAGTGACGTCGATGGGAACATATCTGCCGGAATGATATTAGTAAGGCGGCCGTTGATTCTGGACTCCATACCTCTCCCCTGTCAAACAGCCCACCTTTAAACCATGCGGCGCCTTGGCCTCATCTTCAACTGATAACCCAGCCGGAGTAGTGAAGCCTCCTGAATACACGCATTCCCATACCGTAAATCATCGGAGGTCCTATCTACTACCCCTAGGGGCCTCCTCCTCTACAACGACCCCTTCTGGCGGAGTGTAGGCAACTAAAGCACAAGTGCTGTTGCGTGCACTGGTCCATCCTCACCTCCCGAGGTTGTATCCCAGGAGCGATATCCGTGCCGATCATAAGGCTTAAAATGCGGAACTACGCCTTCCTCGGCGACTGGCCGTCTTTTCTCATATCTGAGGGAATGATCATATTCATCAACTCAATCAGGCGGAGCGAAGTTCTCTACAGCAGCTCAGGAATGGTCTCGTCGTTGACCAGCCGTGCCTCCACAGCTTTGGTCCCTCCACCCGGTGGCGGGCGAAAGCTCCCCGCGTGTTCAGAGGTGAACAAACGCCATCTTGGGTCCAACAGTAGCGCACCTGACCTCGTAAACTCCTCACAGGCCACACCTCCACACAGTGTTGGAATATATTCTTTGTTTCCTCACTAACTACTATCTACGAGTTCGGGTGAAATTGTACCGAAACCAACAAGCATTTTGATATCATCACCAACACATGTAGTTGACCATGTGCATATTGTCCCACACTGCCTCCACATTCACCCACCCGAAGTGTCTCGTTGCTTCACACGGCCTATCCTCGTCACGACATGCAGCCCGTCACGAGCGACATCCGAGATCTCACTTTCCAGCTGAGAGGGAAAGTAAGTTGAGATTGCCGATTACCGGGTATACCTCTCGCAGATGCTTATCCCCTATACCCGGCTGAGGGGCCTGCTGGTTAGCAAGGCGTTCTTCGTACCAATTGTGGACCAGAGTAGAGGCCGAGAAGGGACAAGCCAGACAGGAAGGGTTGTCAGCCATAATACGCAGGCAGGAAAATCTACTGAAATCCCACCTCCCTATTTTCGAACACTACGCCTTGTCGACTACCGTATAACTTTTCATGCTTGGAAACGTCAGCCACTGACTATATTGGACACCTGTTTGAAACGTTCGTGGAGTGTTTGAGCCCGTAGCCGCTTCGCAGCGTGAAATATGAGGCACGCTTTAATCAATCGCTGTACCTAACACTAAGGTGTGGACAAGACAAGCACTGCAGCCTCGCACTTCCACACTAATAGACTGTGGCACGTAGGGGATCCTCCGCTCGAGCAGCATCATCTTGAGGAGCTCCCTCAAAGACTCGCAACCTTCATAGGGCTGAGGTCCCCCGAAAATCTCAATAAGGATGCATCCGAGGGACCATATGTCCACACGTTCTGTTATCTAAGCACAGCCTCGGACGCTACTGCTGCAGTCAGCAGCGCCAACCTTGAGACGTTCATCAAAGAGTTCCGGCGCCATGTACCGAGGAGAGCCCCCGTTGCTTTTCCGCGTGATATGACTGAACTCCATCGGCTCCGTCAGGCCGAAGTCGCAGAGCTTCGTGTTCATATCACGATCCAACTACAATGGAAATTGCTACCATTCAAGCGAGAACCACTTACGACCACATTCATAGTCTTGAGGTCTCTATGGACGATGACCGGCTTCTGGGCATGAAGATATGCCTAAGGCTGGTTGACTAGTTCCGTGAATATTATGGCAGATTACCACTGCACCAGTCAGTTGTACTGTCATTTTGAGCCGTTGCTCTCGACTCAGTCGAACCTTCCTCACATGTAGGAGCTACCACTGAAGGTAGACAGACAGCCATCACGAGTGGCCGTCTCACTTGGTGGAGGTTTCCTCCAGGCATGTACTCCGTTACGAGGCAAAGGTGCGGCAGCTCTAGACAAGCTCCCAGAAACTTGACCTGTCGCCGAGATTTGCCATAGTATTGCCTCGATAGAGCACACCAGGCCTGGGTGATTCAAGTGGCGAAAGCTCTCCACTTCTCTGACCAAATCCTTCACTATCTGCTCGCCATGCCCAGAAGTGGTCATCCATGACGCTGAATGGCAGTACGGCAAAATATGCAAAAGGTCAACCACATATGTTGGTGACAACATGAAAATTCTGAGAGGAAATTTTGTGAGATTGTTGTTGATTACTGTACATTTCTACCCAGGTTCGCATATAAACTTCTATAATTAGTGAGGAAACTCCCAAGCTCAGCTGAGGAAAGCGAACACATATTGCAACACTGCTGAATGGTCCCCATCACGTCTCGAATCGCCCTATGCTTCCTACTGTCATAATTCAGCTTTTTAATAGCAACCTCTCTTCCTCTATAGGTGCCTCGGAACACCCGACCGAACTCTCCCGCGCCCAACTCTTGCTCAAAAGTGAGCTCACTAGGGGCTATTTTCTGGCTTGACTCGTGCAAAGACGATTCCAAGTCAACTGACGCGATCGAGGTCCAACAACAAACGTGCTGGTCCGGGATCACCCGCTTCCCTTGGTGTCGGTTGCACTATACGGGATCGACGGACCACACTTTCCATAGAACTCAGTCGGGTCACAGGAGCCCCTGTGAGACAGGTGGCTGATCGAGCATGAGCCACACTCGGTCTTCGCGGTGGGAGTGCACCACGGACAGGCAGCTGCGCCGGAGGAGGGCACTCTGAGGGAGCCGACTGCTCTACCCCATCCTGCCCTTCTAGTAGAAGAGGGCTCGACTGGTGCACCTGGGGAACTCAATTGCTATTGCCGAGGTCCCCCCCAGACCTCCACACCTTGTTCAAGCCAATGCCTCCTATACTCGCAGTCCGTCTCGTTACCGCTGGCTTGTAGACAGTAAAAACAGGATACTAAATATAGCAAATTACACTGATTATGAATGAGGGAGAAAATCACTACCGGTTTTGGTGGGGAAAAACGGCAGGCGCTATAATCGCTCACATTCTCACTGCCCGAACGTGGGACAGACACCTGCTCACTGACCCTACCAGCATTGACCCAGCCAAGTGTTTACCTACCCCATTGCTCTTCACGAATGACGAGGATCGTAAATGGGCATTGGAGTGAGTCGAACCATACCGCTTCAAGGGATGAGGACTGTAGCCACCGATAGGAGCACCTTCGAGCGGGGCTGCAGCCGAATAGCCGCTAGGGGCTGCTTCCTGGCTCGCCAAGCCTGACCAACAGGACACTCGCACACTACCCTAGGGCGACCAGGCCAGTACGTGTGGAAGGGGGAGAGTAACCAACAGACGGTCCCATGACCGGCGATGGAGAAGATTGACGCAGTGTAGCGTGGCGGGGTGGACTGATGCGACTCCCCTGACTGTTGAGGCACGAAGACCACTGGCCTTACCCTCGGTAGGTGAGCATGGGATAGTCGACTTGCTCAAGGGCGACTTGAGGAGTCCGACCCCGAGCCGTCAGAGGAGGGAGAGGCAGAGGAGGAGAAGGGTGGCAATGCTGTACCTGCGGCGCACCATGGGCCTCATCGGGCTTCTCCATAGAGGAATAACCGTTTGGGAACTGCCATGCTGAATAGACACACGGCGCACCCTGAGGGGACTCAGTGTAAAAGCACCAATAACATCACTCACATCCTCGTACCGACGCCCTGTGTGGCGACGTCAAGACGTGGAGAAAAGCAAGAATACGCACTCGAGTAACGCGCCTGGCATGCCTCCAGCCGGCCTTGTTGTTGCTGTTGTAGGGGAATGGGATATTGCTGATGTTGTGATGGGAACATAGTAAGAGGAAACACGAACGCCGACCGGGAGTAACAGAGACCCTCCTATACTGAGCATCGATTCGACTAGAGGAAAATGATCGATGACCATGGAAGAGGCCAACCCAAGCGTCTCCTTGTAAGTATAGTGACAACACTGTAATGTGGACCAGAGCAATAAGCCACTGTAAGCACTCATGGCTTACAGTGGAAACCATCGTCAAGTGTGATTTAGAAACCAGGCGTCTCTTTGTATCATTGGAGTGAAAAACAGTAGTGAAAAACACATTCCACAACTACTGCATATCACCGCGAATATTGCGTTTTTCACCGAGTTTTACGCCCAATCACGTTAAACGGGTGAAACTCCATTGTATCGGTTGTCAACGACTCATACATGGAGTAAGAGCGTGTGCTAGAGCAGATGGGTCCTGGCAGCATCCTGAAGCTACTTGCTCACAGGGGTCTCTCATGAAGGCCTTGAGGCTCGCTAGGATTAAGGTGGCTCCAATAGAGAACAGCAGATAGGCATAGACCTGCTGACTAGAGCGACCCTCCTCCAACATAGGGCCGCTCGATTTAGCAACAACAGCATCGAAGGATCCCGGGTTACCTCTGAGCATTGCTGTCCTATCGACAGTTTCACCACACTACTTGACGTAACCCGAAATCGAGGCTATGCGCATTGCGCAATCGCCAGGATACCCCCTCGTCCCCCACTAGAAAAGAGATTGACCACGCAATGTCGATAGTAGTAGTGAGAAGGATGGCCCCAACAGATGTTCGGAACAGTTAAAATGGGATTCTGTCATCGTCCAAGGCTCTACACCATCTCGCCGTTTTGGATCCTCAACGCAATCTTTTCTAATAAAGGTAGTCTCTTATCCTTATTTTTCTGGCACACATGAAATAGCAATTACCCTTGCCCCCCACCCCAGATGCTTACCCTCCAATCGTCGAACTGAAGTCTCCCAGGGGACTCCTCCAGGTAGTACTCAAACCCAGTGAATCTGATAGCAACAACGAAAACTTTCCCACGACAGCAACAGACCCTACTACCCCTTGGGAACTGCTTTACAAATAACCATGCCCTGCGGGAGCTCCGATACGCCGTGAATCAAACTAAGCGCCTTGGGCATCTGAACAAACTACAGCTACCCAGCCGACCAGAACAGCATATGCTTTGCCCACCTCAGCCAACTTCCGAGGTTCCCTCATGAAGTACTGGTCAAGTACAATCTCTCCTGTTCTATGGTTCATCCTGAAAAATTCAAGTCTGGCAGACCCCACCGCCGAGCCCCAGCACGTACGCATAGATCCTCCTATACCCCGAAGTATCGCAAAAGAGCTGGTAGTAGTCGAGATGGGCTTGCGTGAGGGCCAGGACATGCCGCTGATGGGGTTTCGACTGCCGATGCTTCTAAGAACAAGTCCGACTTCTTGAGCCCAATGAGACAGCGAAGGCCTACCTCAAACTGCTCTCCTGTGGTGAAGGTGTCACACTCAGCCATCCGGCCCAGATCGTGACAGCACAGCTGGCACACCAGCTCCCCATCGGTTATGAATTCAAACCTGTGATGGGTAACACAAGTCGACAGCACACTTGAGGCGTTCCTTTACTTATTCAACAGCCTCGCCTCTTCCTCCTCGATGGCCCTCTCGTCCATTAGGGCCATGTCCTGCCTCATGGGCGGTTCCGGAGGAGACGCTGACTGATGTCCCAAGGGTCGGCCCCATGCCGAGCCCGGGACACCAGTCGGCCCTCCTGCCCTAGGTAAATAAGAAGTCGGCCCTCCTGGTGGTACCGCGACTCTCGGTGCTGCCAAAAAACCGAGGCTCTCCTACACTATGAGAAAGGCCCTACCTGCTCGAGGGCCCCCTGGGGGTAGCGGCACTACGCTTTTCGCCTGCACTAGCGGTCGAGGGATGGCCGAAGGTGGGAAGTGGACCGCTGGAACTCTCGGTCGTCCTTCCCTATATAATGCAGTCTTGTATCATCCTTCGAATAGTACTAACCCTACTACCTGACGAATCCAATATTGCCACCAAGGTTCTTCTGATGTCGCTTGCTGACCAAATGCTGGTCCACACAGTCGTCGTCCCAAAGTGTAGTCCCACAGAGCCCACCTGCACGACCAAACTTCATCACCAGAGCCAATACCCAGTATAAGAAAAATATGCACATGGTCAACCACATGTGTCGGTGTCTACATACGATTCTGAGAAATTTCGGGAAATCTGTAGTTCTATACATGTCTACTCCTGAAGTAATGAGGAACCATCTGAGCTCTGTTGATGAGGAAAGCGAGTTAATATTCCAGCACTGTCAATACCACTCCTTCCCTACATTTCCATTCCTTGTACTCTCCGTTATCCACTATGTCTATATACGGCGGCCAGCTCGCCTGGCAGCACTGATGCTCTATCCCCTGAGTGCTGACGCTCCCACCTTCTTTTTCCCAAGATGGGCATCAACATCAAATACAATCTTAGCTTGCTCCGCTCCGCCTCCAGGACGGTAACTAGATGAAAACAATGTACTCAAAGGGCGATGGACGGAAACACTACCGAGGTAGTTTGTTGCCATCACAGTTCTTTTGATGTCTCTGGCCTTGCAGATGGGACTCAACCGAAGCTTCAGCGCATATCCTACAGCAACGGAAATTCTCAAAGGGGGGGGCCTTCCCAAATTGCTCACATCGCAGAATCGCAGAGCTCACACCACCACCCGTTTTCACAGACACATAGGTACCTGTGACGGGAAACGATAGGCGAGTCTAGCACGTATAAGAAGGCTCACTGTGGCCAGCCTAAAGAGACATCCCCTCTGGCAAGGATCTTGCTACCATCACTGGCTTTCTCCCCCTCCTTCCCTCGGACCGCGGCAGTAGCGTATAAGTCGTCAGAGCCGCGCACTGCCGCACTGCCATTAGAAGTAGACTGAATATTACCACTCCAAACCGAACTCTTGATCGAATAAAGGATGGTAGTACCGATTCCCCCGCCGGCCTGGAAGGCAAAACATCATCGACATACCACTCAGGACAGCCAACTCGTTTGGCGTGGTCCTGACGACAGCAGCGTGCCATATTATGACCGATATGCTCGATAAAAGGCAGTACCTTAGATCCGATGTGCATCTCGAGCATCTCGAAAGTGGCAGACTTCTTTCTGCAAAGCCGACAGTAGTACCACCCAGCTTCTTCACCTGAGGCAAACCCTTAGTGCAGCAAACTCCTACACCTCTTACCCTCGACATAGTTCTCCTCTCCTTTTTCCCCTGTATAGATAACGTAATTCTCCTTCATCACGCGCTCCTCCTTGGCACTAGCAGCAACAACAGCTCGATGACTGCGGCGTTCCTGCCACTTTTCTGGAAGAAATTTGGTAGGGATATCAGAAAACAAAGTTGGATTTATCACGATTCTGCTCCCACTGGTCTCTCTTTTCCTTTTCGATAAACGCCTTGGCATACTGCTTCAGCCCAGCTTCATCCTGACGACGACCACTACCGTCAATGGCGATGGCCTCAGGGCCCACCTTTCTTTTCTCCAACTCTAAACGCTCCTCTGCAGTGAGACTACCCAAAAACCTGTTGAAAACTACCAGTTGTACTGATATCATGTTTCCAGTCTGCTTACCCGGGCTCTTGATTTTCGCCCTCATCGTCACTGGGGGATTCTTCCTTGGGCGGTCTCCACTTATTCTCGTGGCTTTTACTCCGACTGCGTCTGTCGTCCTTCCTTCCCATTTAAGAATAGAAATTAAGTTAACTTGTCGACGAAATCAATAACAGCCATCTGCAGTTATCATTCACAAGGCAATCTTCACTGCAGCCGTTTACTTAGCACGTGAGTACTTTTTGACCACAACTAGGAAAGGAAAGCTCACTTGAGTGATAGGCCCGCCCATGAGGCTACTACAACCTCCCAAAGACTAGTGATACTGTTATAAACTTGGATGCGACGCTCATCTGCTAGCTTGGCTACGATGAGTCGTCTGTAAAATGTGAGACTGACTCTGAGTGGCGGGGAAAGGCTTGGATTGACGATGCTCATTCCGCATCGCTCCGCTGATTTCGTGAAACATGTTTCGTTTTTTTCGTGACAGCGCGTTTACTGTTCATGCCAAGTGAACTATCATCTCCAACGTTTCCCAGGGCGATTGGGGCCACTGAGGTTGGCTCGCTCCAGAGACAGTACAGGGCCTTTAGAGCGCTGTAGACGTCAAGACCGGTGACACTACGATAGGCGTCATCAGAATCCTCCGTCCCGAGACGCATAGTGACGCCTTATGGCTTCGGGTGGTTGCGGTGCCCTAACATGCACCTAACAGGTGAAGAGTGTTGTGGTGATGCTCCTGACTGGGTTAGAATCTTGTATTACCTTTAACTGGTATATTTCGATTACTGAGTGCTCATAGTACTACGTGCCATAGTAAACACGACATGGTGGTGGACACGGGGACTCGCAAGTCTTGTTCTGAAGAAATTCACTTTGACAATCTGGGCGAGCTCGATGCAATTCAATCGCCGTGTGTGTCAATCGTCGACAGTATTCTAGTTCCGGTGGAGTTTCATAAGAACAACGGCGCATCCTAGGGTATGGCGCTAGTAGTAGTAGTAGTAGTAGTAGTAGTAGTAGTAGTAGTAGTAGTAGTAGTAGTAGCGGTAATACTAGTAATAATAATAGTAACAGTAGGGTAGTAGTCACACCAGGGCTTGTTGAGTTGTGTTATCGGCTGTCTTGAATTTCAACGAAGTATCGTTATAGTTATCGAGATAGCAACGTCGAAGGAAATATAAAACTTTGCGTGTGGCGTCATCATGTAATGTTAAGTTTCTATCAATGATTATCATGAGTGTTGCAGTAGGACTAATACATTGCTGTGCCTGAAGCTAGCACACTAGCTTCACAGGACGTTGGTCAGTGCTTTTTTTGGCGGTTCTAGGTGGCTAGTCGTGTAAGGTTTCAATTAGTCTCGTAGGTTGTCGAGTGCGATTTCACTGTGAAACTGTGAGTGCTCGTGTGAAATTTTCTCATAAGGTATGCTGAGTGCTCCACTATAGAGCAATTTACTCATCGTTTCAAGTCTGATTTTTCTCAAGTGCGTGACTAGCATTTTGAAGCACTCCGTTGTTATTGTGTTAGTAGTATACTACTACATCGTCTTTATCAGCTTTCTTACTCACATTGGTCAGCATTGAAATGTCAGTGGGCATCAGCATTGCAACGGGTGTGTTGAAGTTGTTGGACGTATGCGTGTGGCTGATAACCCTTGGCCCGATGTGGATGTTCACTAAGCCCAGGAACGTTGCTAACTCTGTCAACTCGGAGCCAGTGGAGGAGTTGGTGAGTGAAGGGGGAAGAATATCGGTCATCGTTAAGTCGTTCGTCGAGTTGTTAGGCTATGACCGATTCGTCTTCTATCGTGGATCCAGAAATTGGTGGTTCCCGCTTGCAGGTCGCAAACTCTCGAGAAGGGCCTGGTCGAGTGCGAAGTGGTTATAAGAATTGGAAACCAGTGTGTTCGTGGGACCCAGAAGCTAGAACAGTCTTGGACATTATACTACACACAGTTGGGAAGTACTCGTCCCACCCGGCGCAAGGCTCGAGGTTCTTTGAGGGCTTCAAAGACATCGGCCAAAGGTGCTGAAGTAAGAGGGTAATTGTGTTTAGTATTGCGATTGTCAGGTTTCCTATAAAGAAGTTTGGTCCTACTACGTGGGTGACCTACGCGGAGATGGGTGAGAGATTCAAATCCTTCGGGGCGTATTTGAGGAGTATAGGGAACACCCCTCAGCCGAGCGGCGATATTCGAGACATTCAAGGTTGGTTTTTGTATTGCGGTATGGTGTGGAATTTTGGTCGCGTCGTCAGGTCCCCATTCCCTTGTAATTTACGAGGACACTTGTGCTGAATGGGCACAGGCAGCCTTTGGTACGTGGAGCCAGAACATGATAGTTACCACTGTATATGGTAAACACTACTAGATTTGATGTTTTCATTGTTAATTTCGCTGAATCAGGTACCCTTGGGCCGGACTCTGTAGCACAGGCAATTCAGGAGGGCAGTGGGACTACGGTGAGGAAGGAGGCTGGGAATTGGCCCTACATGTGTTGTTGTAGGTGCTATGTAACAGGAAGAACGTGGAGAGGCTGATTGCTTATAGTAAGGAGATGCCCTCACTGAAGCACATAATTTACACTAATGAGGCCGTTCCTGCTGACGAGGCCTGGTGGGTCCTTGGAGGATGAGATAGCAATGATTATTGCTCGTGTATTTCAGCAAGCCGCTCTCGGTGTCGAAGAACAGCAAAATTACAGTGTGCTCGTTTGAGGAGGCCATCAGCATTGGCAAGGACCTCATTGAGAAGTACCCCATTGTGAAGCCGACCGAAGATTCTCTTGCTATCATAATGTACACTAGTGGTGAGTTGGGTTGATTGTTATCCTCTCTATGAAGGTGTCTGGTCAGGTACGACTGGGAAGCCCAAGGGGGTGATGATGAGGCATAAGACGGTTGTTGCTGTGATGGCATCAGTGGTGCCCATTGGGACTCATGTAAGTTGTCGAATTTATGGTATCAGGTTTGTGATATTCACCGTAGGCACTTCCACCCAACTTCACACATTTGGCATATCTCCCTCTGGCGCACATTTTCGAGATGGCGGTCCAGATAGGTGTGATGTCGATGGGGGCCCGTATTGGGTGAGTCGCCAAGGTCCGGCTGGTTGTGGTGAAAGCCTCCCCGGTTTAGATACGCTGATCCCAAGACCCTAACCCAAACTGGGGCTCAGCCTACTGGAGCGTTAGAGGAGTTCAAACCTCATCTTTTTATGGGAGTTCCCAAGATTTATGATGTTATTATGAAGGTCAGTCTATGAGGTCGAACGGTAGTGATGGACGATTTGTTAGGCGGCTGCTGCTAAGCTTAAGAAGGAGCCTTTGGGGAAGCAGCAGTTGGTCGCTAATGCTTTCGAGTAAGACCCAAGGGTCGTTGTCTATGGTGACGTATTGCTCGGTGGCTCAGGTGGAAGGCGAGAGCGATGGAGGCAGGAAGGTATACGCCGGTTTTTGACATGCTAGTTTTTAACAAGTTTAAACATATACTTGGTGGCAACGTTGTTATTGCCCTTTCGGGAGGAGGTGAGTGTTGATGGTGGTCAGTTTCGGTTTTCCTGTGAGAAAATATGCATATAGTCAACTACTGTAGAACCTGTTGTTATCCGATATCATTGGAGTTTCAACCGTTTTGCGTGAAGTAGCGTATTACTCGGTGAGAGGTCGGTATTAGCGCTACACAGTAGTCGTGAAATATGTTTCTCACTAGTTTTTTTCATGTCATGGGTGAAACCAATATAATGTCATTAGATTGTACTATTTTCGATATCGTGTGTTGGTGACAAATTGAAAATTGAGAAATAAATTTTGGGATTGTGTCGTTACACTTCTACTCGAATTCGTATGTGAGCTCTCGTTGTATAACTGAGAAAACTCCGGAGTCCAGCTGAGGAAAGCGATTATATATTCCAACAGTGCGGTTTTCAGGGCCCCTAGCTGCGACAGTACAAAGGTGGGTGCGTACTGCCTTTGGTTGCCAAGTTATCCAAGGATATGCTTTGACCGAGACTTGCGCTGGAGCGACCCTCCAGATGGAATATGACTTCCGCCCAGGTGTTGTGGGTCCTCCGGTGAGGTCATCTGTGTATTTGTTCGCTACTGTAGTTGTCGGGATGGTAGGTACCTGGAGCTGTGATCAGTTTGCGGTCTTGCATTGGTCCTGATGGTGAACCGGAAGTCCTTGATAAACGTGGGCGACCGTACCTCAATACTGACACTGAGGATTCTAGAGGAAACCCGTGCCTCGGGCGAGGGGAGGTAAGACTTGCAATTTCCCTTTCTTACTTGTTTGAGTTTGACATGAAAGGTACTCATCCGAGGCTTGACGATTTCTGATGGATATTACAAACTCCCCGAGAAGACCGCAGAGGCGTTCAGAGAAGATGGTTGGTTTCGCACGGGTGATGTTGGGGTTTGGTACCCCGACGGTTCTCTCGGTATCATGGACCGTGTGAAGAACCTCGTGAAACTTCATGGTGGAGAATATATTGCTATGGAGAATATGGAGCTCATTTATGGCGGTAGCCAATACGTTGATGCTATTAATGGTGGTATTATGACCTACGGTGACGGGACACTCGATAGACCAGTTGCCCTTGTACAAGTGAATGAGATCAATCTGGTACAATGGGCTAAGTCATACGGAGTGGAGTTTGGCTCGCTCCAGGTGAGATAGTTGTCGGTGGGAAATTGTTGACCATTTTCAATGTAGGACCTGGTTCGAAATCCAAGGGCAGAGGAAGAGGTGATGAACTCACTGCTTGAATGCCACGAGAGTGGGGGGCTTACCTCTATTGAGAAGCTCGCTGGTATCGGTCTCGTCTGTGAGCCGTGGACTGCCCAGAACAAGTGTCTTACGGCGACGAACAAGATTTCGAGGCATGGTGTGATCGCGCGAGATGGAGAGCTACTGGAGAAGGTGAAGGAGAAGGGTAGACGATGATGAAGTGGGACGTCGTATTGTTTTATATAACTTTTTTCTACTGCAGCGGTTCGAACATAGGAGGCTGATAATATTATACGAGCTCAATGCTTTGTGACACTCCACTTCTGGTGATTATTGGTTTATTTCAATGAATCGAATTTTGACTACCAAAAGGTTGCATGTGGAGAGGATGATTTTTACGATTTTGATATGTTCGGATCGCTCAGTTTGGTAGAATTTTTGATCGTCGTAGTTTCTCTGGTACTAATGTTGATTGTTTTTCGTTGAGTGCGTGAACCAGCATTTTGACTTGGGGGGGCATATGCACATCGTATATACGCGTAAGCCCCAGACTAGACTGGGCTTGGGCAGCAGTGAGCATCTCTGCTGCTCGGCCCGTACTCAAGGAGTATCATTACTCTATCACAGCGCCATCATGTGGAGATGTTGTGGGGATGATATATCTGGCTTCAGAAATGAGTTGTAGGGCTGTACAGTGTAGATTTGTATCATCGAGACTTCCACCGGGACTTGATGTAGTTATCCGTGAAATCGCATTCATTTATCACAAGATTGATGTCATCGTCCCTGAATGTGATATTCTCACTGGCTAGGTTGATGACCTCAACCGCGAAATAGGTTTCCTAAAGGTGTCTATCGAGTACTACTCATTGTTATAGGAAGAGTGGTTTACTCTGCCCACGCGTGTCGCACAGTAGTACACGTGTTCGAGGCTGCCAGGACAAGTCACCAGCGAACGCACATTGTAGATATTTTTACTCGACAAAGCAGCCATTGTCGATCCCGTGTTTCGGGAAATGTGTGGTATGGCCCTGTTTTTGTCCTTTGTTTATCTGCGATGTCGTCGCTTCTCCGGAGGTGGTCTCCTCAACGACTGCTGTATAGGCGGTTGCACTTCAGCTCCCAGATGAGTACACTCCAAGATAGTCCAACAATGACGCCTCGAGAAGTTGTGTATGGAAAAAATAATTTATAGTCGACTTAGTGAAATTTCAGATTCCTTTTCGACCAAGTTTCTCGAAATAAGGCCGCCACTTTGAAGACGTGGAATACGTGAGTTCTCTTGGAAGCTCGTGGGCTTGCCGAGTACCCTAGCAGGTACTGTAACTCCCTGTTGTTACCGGTGATGGATCAGTTGACGATAGAGGAAATGCGCACTATTATCCGCGCGATGGTCCGGGCCCGGTTTAGAAAATTCGCTGTGACCAATAGAGTAAATCGCCGTTTGATATCGTTGGTACACGGACAAGGCTCTCTCGCTGCACCAGAGGTAAGGCCCCGTGGTGGCGTTCTGGTCCTTGGATCGCTCGAGATGAGTTGTTCGACTTGTAGGTGGGAAGGCTGCTGAATGATCTGTCGAAATTGGATTCGCTGGATGATGCCACTACCAGAGCTTTATGCAGGGCTACCAAATTCGATGATAGTAGCTAGTCTTGACTGTTCGCGACACATCTTTGTGAAATAGGTGATTTCCCCTCACTGGCTAGGACCTTGAATGCATTGGCACGAACTCGATTGGCTGATTATGGTATAATTAATCCCATTGCTGATGCAGTGGTTGCACAGATCCCCGATGTTGACCTTACAGTGGAGCACAGTCTTACAGTAGGAAAATATCAAAAGTGAACACGCACGAAACATATTGTCTTCAGCTTATGATACAAAGCCTGAGCTCGCTTGCCCGTCTAGACGCTCTCTCGAGTAGTCGACGAGAGGTCTTCGTCCGGCGGATTTGTGGGCACTTATCTTCTCTGGAGCCCTTCCAGCTGTCGATGTTGATGCATGCTCTGGTCATACCAGACTGGGGGAAGGGCCATATAGGGTGAGACATGCGGTGAAGGTCGGCATCATAGTTGACCACAGCATTGTGTTGCTCGCCTTGGGAGAGTCTCGACCTGCGGATATGCTCAGGCACGAAGATCTTCTCCTCAATTTGCTTCGGTACGCGTCGAAGGGACGGGGTGAATTCAGTTTTCCACAGGTGAGAGGGACACCCCTGGCTCTCGTTGATGCTGTCGCGGCATTAATGGGCATCATCATAGTGCTGCTATAACAATGAAGTATTACGAAAACGGCAGCCATTGTTCGGAATATCCGCGGCGACCACTACGACCGTATCGACTGAATGATGTTGACTGGATGAACTGCCCCTTTGAGTATCGATAATAGTAAAGTTAGTTTAACACAGCGAGGTGATAGTTGAATTAAAGTAGATAGCAGAGTGAGGTAGTGTAGTCGAGTATGTAATATAGCGATCGAAAATAGGCATGCATCGAGAAGAGCTTTATGAAATGAATATCCACCTGCAATCGTAGAAGGTTGTCGTTAAGTTGAACTCCATCTGCTGCGACTTAAAGCAATGACGTTGTCGATTTTAGTTACATGAGATTCTCACCTGTGGTTATGCACTCCAAGCAAGTGGCGCAGTCCTCCCGAGAGATGTCTTGTTGTTCATGGGAGATGCCGAGCAGATTGTATGTCAGTCATTCCACTATTCTGTGTAGTTTAACGTTTGTTATTGTAGGTGGATGCTGAGGGGCGCAAAGGTGTGTCCGCCACGAGTGCTCATCTCAAGGTAAGCCATCTTCTGGTGGTGATACGACAGTGTCACCGGAATGCACTCGCTAACCTTGTGGTTTGGTAAGGACTAAAGCGAGGACATGGTTTGAACAGGTTTCGATATCGAAGTTTCAAGAGTCCATTAAAGCTGTACTGAAAGCATGTGAGCTCGAGTATCATGAAGAAGTCATTGCAGGAACATATGTGAGTGGGTTGGCATAAGAGGATGAGCTTCCCAAGATATACCGCCTTGATGAAATGAATGAACGGGTAGTGCCATATCGGAATAATATATCGGTTTATGCATGGCCGAGCACATCTGTTCGAAAATGGCTCCGTTTCCTCGACGGAGCGGTGCGTTCAAGTCGTGGAAATCAGCACTCAGTGATAGCGTCATTGCGCGCAATGCTTTCGGCTAGCGATGCAAGCCAACGACATCACCAAATAACGCTGGCTTTACGTTCTTCTGTGGCTCTTAAGTGTCCGTTCGAGATGCAGTATTATGAGCGCGGCCCATGATCGGCCATCCTCATCATATTTTGCAGACACTAGAATACCCTTACTTGAAATAGACTGGGGGGTGAGCGTCCGAGTTCAAGTCGTTATAGCCAGATGGGCTCTTCTTCGTTCCGCGTGCTGAATCTGATATTAGCAGAAATGTGGAGACTGGGTCCTCCAAGCATGAATTCACCCAACTCGAATTTATATCATTGTTTGGTCAGTAACGGCTATGCTTACTTGTAGTACAGTGAGTGGGTTGTTTTAATATTGCCACTGAGTGAACTCGTGGAAAAAGATATCATTATATCATGTCCCTCAGATAGTTGACTATGCAGTTGGCAACAGTCTGGCGCTAGAGGCTGACGGATTCACTCACTTCTACGCGGGTACGGAGAACTTTACTGCGAAGGCTAAGCTGAAGCATCGCATCTTGAGGTTCTTGTCTACTCACCAGTCTTACTGCTTGCATAACGTGCTGGCATTCTTATCAGGTCCCTCGGCTGGAACATCGTCAGTCTTCCTTATTTCCAAATGAAGAACAGGGGGTTGCAACTACGGTGGGTTTGTCAGTTTGTGAACATTTTGATGAGTTGGTCAGCTACAGTAGCGCGTTTGTGGAATTCAAGTCGATGAACTGACTTATCCAACGCTCTGAATCTCCAGCGGGAGGCCTTGGGTGTTCTCAGAACCGAGTATCTTGTAAATGCTATCGAGAAGGAATCTGGCGCGGACCTGGCTCAGATCCGAAAGCTATCTCGGCGAAGGCAGTTTGCCGTTTCATGATGTAGTGTTTTGTTTCCTGATACTTGTATATTGTGTTTGTAACTCACATCAACGAATACCGTAGATGTTGAGATATACTATCCGAAGATAACTCGAGGCTTCAGAGCTTCTAGAACTGCGTATTCGAACAGGCATACCACCCGCATACGAGTGAGACGAGACTGTAGATAGGCAGCGTAACTTTTTTTGCGGTTTACGTTATGGTGTTCGTAACGTAAGCAGCTTAAGCTTACGTTGAAGCCTTACGACTTTACGGTTGGTGCCGAACTGCCTTTTTAGAATTGTTGCGGAAACATTCGCTGTAAGGCACTCCACGGTAGCTCAAATAATTGTTGAACTCATTTCTTGTGGCTCGGATTCAACCGAACCACTGAGAGAGTAACATTCGGTTTCGCATTTGTCACTCGTCTCCTTTGCAAATTCCGTCCGTCTTACTCCCAGGCTCGTCCGGAACTGCCAAGCCGGCTTCGTGACGAAGCCTTCGTCTACGGATGCACATTCACATGAAATACATTTATGCGACTTGAATTATGAATCCTCGTTTGTCCTCAGCATATCCGCAAGACCCGTTACGGCGACGTAATTCTACGATACGGGGCTTGAATAGTTCGATCCTGGATGGTTGGCTTCGCTGTTTTGCCATAAGCTAACAGCCTGTTAGCTTATGATGGTTCACCTGTCAGTAACAGGTAACCCATCAGGCAGTTTGTGCGTTAGGAGGGAAGGGTCCCCGGAAAAGCGCGCCCACCCCCTCGTGACGCGGTGTGAAGGACCCTAGTTGAGACGCGCTATGTATTACCTTTTTGTTCTGCGTAATACTGATCGTGCAAGGGTTTTTTCCTGGTCTTCCCCCACCTGTTGGTTATCGCTCTGGTTATAATACTAGACTGCTAGACGAGTACAGCCGGTGATGCCGAGTTGCAAGATGGTGGACCGGTCGCCGCTGCACGTGTGTACGGCCCAGTACAAGAGTCGCATCATAGAGCCCCGGACGCTCGCTCTCGCATGCAAAGAACCGCCTTCAATAGAGAAGGGCAATTCTGAGATCGACTTGTTAGACTGCACCTGTGAAATCCCTTGAAACGTTGTTGCGATCACAGGGGGTGGCCATATAGCCTTTATGCCAAGTATGAAGTTTGGTCGAGTGGTCCTTGCCGATCAATTGAGTTGTCAAATTTAGCTTAGTCGGCACGTGTGAGTCACACGGACTAACAGATGTAACTAACGTGTCGCGTGAAAAAATGACGGCACACATGAGCAACACTTTCGAACGGAAATAGGGGCTCGTTTTAAGGCAGCTATCTCGGCCTGGGCACCATCTGGAGGAAGCTCAGCGGGATCCACGTGTGAACTCGACATGTTGGGAGACAAGTGCTGTCGCAACCGAAGGAGAGATATGCGACAGGCAGATTAGTAGCGGAGCATTAGCTTTATGTTTCCCGCGTACACAGTCGTGTGATTGTGTATCCTTTACAGCTTATTCTCTTATCACGAGGATTTCGGAACCTCAGTATCCTTTCAGCTGAAATTCAGCATGCGCCATCTTGCCTTTCTCTTATACGGGGTCCTCCAAATCACATGTACTGCGATGTGGGATGGTGGAAGCCCCGATCTCGGTGGTAGAGAGTACACGGATCCAAACGATCCGAGGTTCATCGACCAGTCTCCTTACTTCACGGCCATTTCTATACCGGCCGCCTGGAAGCGCCTGGCTGAGTCTGGCCGCAGGAGAGAAGCTGTCACCATTGCTCTGATTGATCAAGGGTTAGACTCCAAGCACGAAGACTTACAAGGCAATGCTATCACCGGATATAACGTCGTTAATGATAATACCGATACGGCCCCTCGAACTCCTCATGGCACGCAGATCGCTGGAATTCTCGGTGCCGTTACCAACAACAAAATTGGGATCGCCGGGATATTAGACCACGTGCGGCTCATGCCTATATATGTAACCCCCGAGCTGTGTTATATGAGGAAGGCCTTCTATCACATTATCAAGCACAGGAAGGAGAACAACGTGAAAATTATCGTAGCCCCCCTGGCGACGTCCAATTCATGCTTCAAAGACATGGTAAAGCAGGCCTCCGACGTTGGGATCCTTGTTGTTGGACCTATCGGTAATGATGGAAAAGAGATCAGAACAGACGTTTACCCATGTGCGGTGAGCTCCTCGGCTGGAGGTGTGATCTGTGTAGCTGCTACTAGCAGGACTGGGATGCGGCTCGATCCCATGAGCAGCTTTGCCTCTTACGTTGACATCGCCGCGCCTGGGAATAATATATTGACCACCTCGTTGGACCCTCTATACGAACACGTTTCTGGGTCGTCAGCGTCTGTATCGATCATAGCAGCCATAGCTGGAATACTCTACAGTATAGACTCTTCTCTAAGTCCTGGAACTGTGAAGAGCATTCTCAAGGAGACCGCAACTCCAGGTGTTAAGGACAGTACTGGCAAGACTTCACTTAATTTTGGCCGTGTTAATGCGGACCAAGCCGTCGCTCGTCTCCTGAGGTAGATTGATCCTCTCAGTGAACGAGTCTCAGTCGAGGTATAGCGATACAGTAGACAACTATTTCTCTTCATTGGTCATTCGATGATTACCCGATAATATGATACTGTCGCATGAAATATGTTAGTCTTCCTGTCTATTTTCAACCAGTTGCCAGTTATTCATTAACAAATTCAGTTGGTGTCGCAGGCTCATTATTATCAGGGCCTATGCCTAAGCTGATTCGTCATTGATTATGTAATGGCATCTGTGAGTAGCGTTTCTGAAGGGGACTCATCCACTGGATGAATATACCGGATGGTATCTAGTATGTTCACTTGGAAAGTTAGGTCCTTGAGTAAAGTTGGGGTTTGCTGAGACCTTGTTCCTTCCCTAAGGAGACCCAAGCCTTGGGTCTCCTCTGCACCGAATATTTTGCAGATGCTATCGAGTAGTGTGGCGCGATCCTGGCTCAGATCCGCAACTTGCGGACTGACCTGAACGGTGAGATAGGACGGTGAGACAGGAGCCACGAGTCGTGGCCCACGGCTCGTGAGAGCAGTGACTCACTGCCAGTGAGTATTTTGTACTCAAGTCTAAACTTTGGGCAGTTTACACTACTACTAATTTAAACTACAGTAGTGTGAACACTGTAGTATAAACTTTGCAATTACCGGGGATCGATGCCACATCGACGATGTGTGCGAGGTACACCATTCTGCATGTAAAAGAGACCCACCGAAACTCAGTTTCACTGGATCTCGCTTACAACTTGTAAGCGAGATCCAGTGAAGCTTGTAAGTTACAAGCACATCCTTCGATGGGGTTCGATCACGGGAAGGGCACCGACAATTTGTCGGTGCCTTTGTCGGCGACAAAGGTGGTGAAGCTTATGCCGGAGATGAGAAGCTCCTCGCGATCTATAACCCAGTAGCGTGCCGAAGACGTTCAGAGGACAAGCTAGAGACGAAGTCGAGCAAGTACATTTGAGTTGAATAGTATGTCCTTGTTGCCAATTCCTGCGTTGAAAGAAATTGATGTAGAGATAGTGGCCCCCGGGGGACACCAAAACGTTGTTTATTTTAAAGGAGAATAGTTCGGATTTGACTCGTGTCATGACTTGATATGCTAGCACACAAATGGCCCAGCAGTAGTAGTCTGACGTTTTGGCCATGGACTCGCCCAAGCGTTGCATCAAGTCGGCAGTGATCGGAGGTTTTTGACTACGTGGCAGAGGTCTATGTCTCGGGAAGGCCTTCAGCACAGCTATTATAGACTCATTATGATCGAGACCGGGGTGTAATGGCATTGACAATCAGCCGCGAGCAGCCAGACTCTGCTCAGCTTCGCGCTTGAGGTCGCCGGCCGCCATGGCATATATAACGGAGACGGAAGTCATGAGGCAGCATATAAAGGAGTCGAGTCTTTGAATTTCGATATTAGTATCGGCCAGATGATTCATCGTGATGCAACTATGCATCATCGTATCCCGCTGATTTGAGTTGATTATACACATGGTCCATCATAAACCGTCCATGTGTGTAATGTTGTCGTAATCCATGCGACATGGATTGCAACAAGACTGAAACAATAATCACGTAGGAAAGCCGTGTAGTTACTATATTATACTACATATTCTGACCAGTCAGCATCCAAGTTGGATGATCCAACTTCCTTACAGGCTGTAAGTTACAGCAACCTTATGATCTTGGTAAGTACCTCACATGCACCTATGAACATCATAGGGTCACCTGATTCAGGTGTGGAGCGATCGCTCATCTTACGGAACACCTGCCTCAGTACCCTGCACTGTACGACGCTGATGCCATCAGCCTGATGGTTTCCGACGGAAACCGGGCCAGTAACTGGCTCGGCCAGTCTGGCCGCCACTGGCGGCCCGCCAGTTCAACCGGCGTGGAAGACGCCGCGCGCCAAGCTCTTCCGCGAGTGCACTCGAGCTTCATTCCCTCGACCTCATTCTCATGGCTACCACCACATGAAACGATCCCGACGAGGATCGTGTTAGCTGCGGCGGAAATTATTTCCGAATAATTTTGATCATTCTATTACAGAATGATCAAAATCGTCCGACTCGACGAACGCTCAGTCGCCTGAATGTACATCAGAGCCCGAAGAGAAACTCGAGATCCTCTCGGTTCGAAGTTCAAACTGATATGAATCATCTCAGATGATTTCGTGGCTATACAATCACAAATATCTGACAAGACAGACATTAGATCCACCATGGAAGACTAAACACGTTGAATCAACGTCGTTGATGATGAATTATAGAAACGGGATTTCTACATTTGATAATCAAAATTGGATTGAAGTTTGGACACATACACTCCCTTCACTGCCCTGCCCTGAGGGCAGTGCCCTACTATCATGGGGTGGCCGAGGCGCTCATGATGAGAAACTTCCCCATTAGAGTCCCATGGAGAGATTTTTTTATCATCCTCGCGGCTGGTGGGAGAAAACCGTGGCAACGCTCGTGAGAATGGCAAGCTGGGTGCCGTGAGGTGCTGTAAAGTACTCCCGGAGTAGTCTTATGGCACCTTACGTAAGGGTCTTGAGGAGAGGCTCAAAATCCCCTCTATAAAGTTGTCTTACGTAAGAAGGCCCTCCTTGCGCCTTGTGGGGTGACTGCCGGGTGAGGAACCTTATGGTAAGGAACGGTTCCTCAGGATCCTTACTTACTCCTACACCGCAAATCGTAAGGATGTGAACGCCCTTTGTAATTGAGGCCTATAAAGGTAACCCTAAGGTGAACAACATCATCCAAAATCACTGATAAAACATCCGCAGCTAATATTACTAATGCAATTGATATATCGATTGAGCTGCTCAGTTGATTTCTCACTCGACG